GGGTGGCAGGGCGGGCGAGCCGGGCACCGGCAGGAGCGGGGTGTGCGCGGGGGAGCGGACTCCGTCCCTGCCTGCCATAGCCCAGGCCGGGCGTTGCGAGCATCCCCGGGGCGCAGGGAGTCGCCTAATTGTTTGTGCTAAGCTTCGACCTCTGCAGCCGCCTGGGGACCTCTGGTTTGGGGCTGGGGTGTCTTCCGAGCGGCAGCAACTCAGCCTGGCTGAACTGGTGTTTACGCTAGGCTCCGCTCGACAAACCTCAGCCCCAGCTAATCACCGTGTTTAACTGGCGTGGGTTTAATTAGCTTATTTTACACCTGGAAGGATGTCAGCTCGCGTCTCTAAACTGCAGTCTTTGGTAAAGGGAAAAAAATAATGGTTTTAAATGTAAGCGGGGGTGGGGGGGCACGTGGGGGGGGGGAATCTTCCAAATATCAGCTGTCATATCCAAATCGTTTCTGCATCTCCTCTGTGGGATAGAAAATGGAAACTCTGCTTTTCATGTCAAAACCTACCAGAGAGAGATAGCGTTGGGGCTATTTTGGGCAGATTTTGTGGACAGAGGTGTTGCTGCAATTTCATATTGTTTATGAAATACAGAGTTGGTCTTTTGAAATAGCCTGTTTGTATATGCTCACCACAGCGTGTCAATTCATCTAGAGATTGTTTGTTCTACCGTCTATTTTAAATGTGACTAAGAAGCTTTATTATTATCATGACTATTTAATAAGATTTAGCCTGTAAACAGGAGCCCTGGTGGCGTCATTGTTTCGCGTTGGGCTAAGATCTGAAAGGTCAGCAGTTTGAAACCACCAGCCTCTCCTTTAGAGAAAGACAGGGCTTTCTACTCCAGTAAAGAGTAACAAGCTGGGAAGCCCACGGGGGTGGGGGTGGGGCAGTTCCACCCTGTCTGATAGGGTCCTGAGTCAGCTTCCACATGAGCGAGCTCTAAACAAATGTGTGGACGTTTAGGGACCAACAGTTTCTCCCGGTCTCCCGAACATTCTTTTGTGTAAGTTTAAAAAAAAAATTTAAAGCCTACTTGTCTGCATCTGGTGAGAGAGGTATTTTCATGGGAAGTAAGGCGTTGGGGGTATTTGTGTCTGTGGGGCAAAGAGCACTCCCTCCTCCCAAACACAAATGAGAAATGAAATGAGGGAAGTTCTCCCACTACTGGAATGGCGCTAAAAAGACACGCAAGATGAATAACTTGGTTTTGAGGCACGTTGACGGCTCCAGGAGACGTGGGGTCATTGTCACTGGGCAGTTGATACATGATTTAGAGTGGGGTGAAATGGTAGATGTTCACGTATAAAATCTATGCATTCACCGACATCTCCGTGAAACCTCCCAACTGCCAGCAAGCCTATTTCCTCTGGTGGCTACCCGATAGGACAGAGTAGAACTGCCCAGGGGAGATTCTGAGGCTGTAAATCTTTATGGACACCGACTGCTATGTCTGTCCCCTGGTGGTTTCAAACTGCTGACCTTGTGGGTAGCAGTCCAATGTATTGGACTATGCCATCAGGGATCCTCCTTGTGCCCCGTCCTGCCTTGATTGCTTCCTATGTATGGGTTCACTCATTGTCTCCTCAAGGCAATGCTGCCTGTAATTGTCCTCATTTTTCAAATGGGGAAACTGAGGCATAGAGGAGCTAAGTAAACTCAAGGTCACACAGCTAACTGATGGTATTATCATATCTGCAAAGTTCTTTTTATAAGGAAGACGTGAATTTAAGGTTCTGACTTATTTTTTGGTTTTACTTTTCCATTTAAGGCTAAATGATGAAAATATTTCCTGCGAAGCTTAAGAATTCCTCTGTGGAAGCATCCCCAAGCACCTTTAACTAGAAAGTAAGGAAAAGTATGACAGAGCCCTCTGGGTGACTCAAGTGTGAAGACCTCCGCATTCACCAGAAGACCCAAGATGGATCGGCTTCAAAGCACGACCATCCCGATATTCCTTGAGAAGTGGGGCTTGGGGGAGTCACCATCTGGCTGCAGGAGACATTATAACGTCAGAAAAAAACTGAAGTTCATTAGAATCATAGGACTTTTCCTGGGCCTGCTAGCCATCAGCACTGTCCCATTTTCAATCAGTGCCTTTTCTGAGACAGAGACTCAGAGCCCAGGAGAAGCCAATGGTCTAAGTGGCCCAGGGGTAGTACACGGTTACCGTCAAAGAACTCTCTTAGACCTAAATGGCAAGATTCTGGATTCCACTGAACAGCCCCCTGTGATTCAGGAAGGCAAACTGGAGAACACTACAGAGCATGCCGAAGGGGACTACCCCAAAGACATCTTCTCCCTTGAGGAGCGAAGAAAAGGAGCCATCGTTCTCCATGTCATTGGCATGATCTACATGTTCATAGCCTTAGCCATTGTCTGTGATGAGTTCTTTGTCCCTTCTTTGACTGTCATCACCGAAAAACTGGGCATCTCTGATGATGTGGCCGGAGCCACCTTCATGGCTGCGGGGGGCTCAGCCCCAGAACTCTTCACGTCTCTCATTGGGGTCTTTATTGCCCACAGCAATGTTGGCATAGGCACAATCGTGGGCTCCGCAGTGTTCAACATCCTCTTCGTGATTGGCATGTGTGCACTGTTTTCTAGAGAAATCTTAAACCTGACCTGGTGGCCACTCTTTCGGGATGTGTCCTTCTACATTGTCGACTTGATCATGCTGATCATTTTTTTCCTGGATAATGTTATCATGTGGTGGGAGAGCTTGCTTCTATTATCGGCTTATTTTGCCTATGTGATTTTCATGAAATTCAACGTCCAAGTCGAAAAATGGGCGAAGAAAATGATAAGCCGCAACAAAGTCGTCAAGGTGACAGCGCCAGAGGCCCAAGCCAAGGTTGGTGGTAGTGGTTATTTATTGAATGCCCCTCTTGCCCATAGCTCCACATGATGGTGCTTTTGAGATCTGCACCCCTGGATGGTCGCGGTTGGCCGATTGCGTTCTGAAGTTCTGCGGTACGCAGACTAACCTGACAGTGGTGGGGAGAAGCATTGCTGTCATTGTTCTCTAAGTCCCCAGGCTTCCTGCTGCAGTCAGAAGAAAGACAACTGCAAATAGAGGTTACATGCACATCCCCAAACAGACTTAGCAGCTCCCTAACTTATTTTCTGGATGTAGGAATAATGTTTTGGAGAGCAATTTCATTTTCACGTGAAAGTATGTCTGTACTTAACGGATTAGAGAGGTGTGTGTGTGTGTGTGTGTGTGTGTGTGTGTGTATGTGTTTGAGTGTGTGACAGCTAGGAAGAGCTGTCACTTTAATGATATTTAGGGAAGAAGTTTTGTTCCTGTCACTGAAGCCACACCTTTCACTTGGCAGTCTGAGCCTGGCAGGACTTTGGAGCTACGGTCATTACTCTTGACCCACACCATTTGGCTTCCCATCTCAGAATCAGGAACTGATCCTTTGCAAACAGAGGCATTGAGTGAACCCAGCTTTTGTAGCGTGAGCGTCCATCTCCCACCCCAGAATACACACCAGCTGAGCTATGTTCGCAGTGGAACAAAAGTGAGGCAGTTCTCCCAATGATACGGAGGTGGGAAGCCAACTGGTAAAGAGCTGAGAAAGCACCAGTCTACCAAATTGCAAATGCTCTTTTTTGTAAAAATAATGGTGAGCATCATCAATACAGATGTTAAGTGCGGTTTTGTGATTCTGATGTATATCCTGACACTGGACAGTCATCGCCGACTGATTTCAAACAGTGAGCCAGAAGATTCAGACTTGTTATTCTAGCATACGGAACATTCTCAGGTGTGCAAAAAACAGATGCTTGAGTTGGAGATAGGATTTCTTCTCTTATTTTTATTTCAAAAAGAAAATGAAAAACAGATCCTGATTTAGCTCAAAGTGTCTAATCCCTTCATAGTCCAGTTTGATGACCATTCTGTTTGTAACCCGGCATGGAAGTGCTTTTTTGTGCTTCATCGAAGAAAGACAAGCACGTGTCGTGGTTCTGTTAATTAAATGCACAAGGGACATGGTGTGTATACTACGTTTCTTCAGACATTGCTCTCAAGTATAATTGTTAGAAACTGTAGTTGGGGGCAAAATCATTGAGCAAAATGCAGTGTGATGACTGGATATATATCCTTCTGGACATCTTGGGTTGTCATTAGATCCCCACTCTCTGTACTCCACCAGTCTAGCCACACCTTCCCCTTGAGCCTGACTACGAGTTGCTGTGGTTTCCATGAACAGGTAGTGTTCATTCCAACTGGAATGATTGTCAATGGAAGGGCGTATTTTTTTGTTAGCGGCAAGGATGAGTTGGTTTCATATAAACACCCTGTACATAGAAAGGGTAAGAAGCCTTTTAGAGAACTCACTACTTTCTTGTCTTGTTACACTGGAGCGGAACTTTGTCGCCTATACATGTATACCCTGAGTCCATGTACACACTGATTTGGCTAAAGGATGGTGCTGGCAACATTGATGACCAAGGAATTTGCAGAACAACGCAACTGTGGATGGTCAGCTTGTAGGGGGCACTGGTCTTCTGTTCGTAGGAGGGGAACACGGGTCCCATGCCTTTCAGATGGAACATCCACGATCCTGTCTACAGACCATATTTTGTCAGCTGCAAGTGAAAGAGCCCTGGCAGCATCGTTACCTTTTCAACCGGGGAACTGCCACGTCACCTTCAGAACTTCAAAATCAGCCACTTGGCCTGATGTGGTGGCTCTTGTTCATATCAACATTGTACTATGCTTTAAAGCAGCGGTTCTCAACCTGGGGGTCGCGACGGTCCGAACGGCCGTTTCACAGGGGTCACCCGATTCATAACAGTAGCAACGTTACAGTGATGAAGTAGCAACGGAGATAATTTTATGGTTGGGGGGTGGGCACAACAACACGAGGAACTGTATTAAAGGGTTGCAGCCTTGGGAAGGTTGAGCACCACTGCTTTGCAGTGTAAGTTTCTTGATTTGGAGATCCCAGATTTGCCTAATTAAAAAGGAAAGCAGGTTAGATTCCTAACTGTTTCACCTGTTTCCAATTTTTCTGCCCCTCCACCTCTGGGAAGGTGTTTTGTTTTATTTTCCCTTGAGCACCAGGTTTAATTGATCCCACTTCATCATGCACAGGTCTTGTGGAGCTCAGTAATTAAGAAGAACTACAGCCACCTTGGCAGTCGCCAGTTGATTTGGTCTTGGTTTTGCTTGGGGTACACCTGTATCTTATTTGATCCTCCTCCTAATGGCTAGAACAGAGTCATAGGTTTTTGGATGGACCAGGACATAACAATAGGTGATTTCCTCCTGGAAATTTCACCTTGCCAATTTCACTTTTGAATCACTGCTGGAAAAGGCTTTTTTCCCTTTAGCAGTTACAGCCTTATCATAAACCTATTTTCAGAATGTCATGGTTTTGCCGCGCCCCAGCCCCATCTACTGAACAGGAGGTGACTGAGAGAGGGGTGTACTCTGGAGTGTGGCTCAGTTCTTTGGCCTGCACGGTTGGTTTCTGGCCCCCACAGAAATCAATGCTTTGCACCGCATCAGAACACTCTGGGATGGAGGTTGGGAAGACCCCAAGCAGATGCAGTCCTGGGAGGATGGTGTTGCACATGCATTGAAGTGTTTCATACAGAGTCCCCTCATCTGATTTGCCCAATTCTGGGCCATGGGGATCTGGGGACATGGTGAAGCAGAAGGGAGATTTTCTTCTCCCAACCCCCCAGTGGGTCTTGCTGAAATATCAATACTGCTGGGCTCTGGGCTGTGAAATATCCTTGAGACGACTCTCTTCCCGGACAAGTTGAAAATCTGAATTTGAGTCCATTCATAATGATGCGTGCCACGGAGAACTGTGAGCTGGAAAAATGAGAGCTGTTTGTCCTTGCCTCTGAAGAGCCCTCTGGCCATCCTTCTTCCAAGACAGATTTGGTTTTGTCCTTTGGGCAGTTCCTGGTGCTTGCAACATTCCCCCTCTTTTAGACGTATCATTAAAAAGCCCTTGTGACATGGTGTTTAAAGTGCTCCACTGCTGGGCAAAAGGTGGGCATTATGAATCCCCCAGCTACCCCAGAGGCAAAAGATGTGGCAGTCTGCTTCCATAACCATGTCCTGCCCTGGAAGTCCTATGGGGCAGTTCCCATAGGGTCTCAGTGAGTGTCGATGGTAGCAGGTTTTAGTGACAGCCCTGTTCTAAACGTTCGGTAGCACCGTGACGTGGTGGCGCTCTGAATCGGGAAGGACAGGGACTAAATCAGGTTTCTGTGATCAGTTCTGTGGCCAGAGAGAAGTTATTTAAACCCACTTTGGAGTCTCAGTTTAGTTTGGAAAAGGAGAATAAAAACACCTACTTCATCAACTTTACAAGGGGAAAATTATTAAATGAAGAAAGGATTTTAGGCAGCTGATTTTTCAAGAAAAGTTACCTTCCCCATTTGCCTTTTACCTTCCCTATTTTGGTGTAAAGTGAATCGGAATCAATCTTTCCAATGTAAGAATTTCAAACGCGTCTTTGAAGATTGGATTCACCCCAGTGACTCTTTGGGGTGTGACTCTTCGGGTTCAGCAGACCATTGTCCTCCCTGTGGCTTTTGTTGTTAGGTAAAGTTCATTCCAACCTGAGAAGAATCGTATAGCAGTTGCCATATCCTAGCACTTATAAGCTACCTTAAACATACAATAAATATACCTGCACCAAATATTACCAGAGAAATATCCAAATGCCTTTGTGGTAGCTTCATATAAGTAGGCTATTGGCTAGGGTTTAGAAATATTCACGTTAAGCAGAGATTTTTGCTTCAGAGTATTTTTACTTCTCACTGATTGGAGCTCTCATATTAAAACTTCTTCATAGCTGCTTACAGATAATACATGAAATAAATGAAAGTCTTGTGGTTGGGAGGCAGTTAAGTTTGAGTGTACCCAGAGTGGGATCCTGACTCAGTAGATGTTTGGCTGCTGGGGCAGGGTGATCTCTGACTGTTGGCCGGTCACTGGCCTACAAAGCAGCTGTCCATGGTATTTAACTTCTTCTTAGACTTGGCTTTGTAATCTGACAGCAGGTTGTCCCAGTTCTAATGAAGGGAATTTTCTAAATAAAGATGCTTAAGGCAGGATAGCTGATGAGCCACGCGACTTAGTCCTTTGGCTATGGCTTGCTTTATGCAACTTGTGTGTGCTGAGAAGTTGTTTGTAAACAGAATGTTTGCGGTCCGAATTGGAACGGAAGTTCTTGGGGAAGAGCAGAATTGAAATACTAGTACACACATTCCCCAGAAAGGGAAGTCTCTTCTTATAAGGGGCTAAATGATTTCATAGATCCAAATGGTTAGCCCCCAGCTTGCCACAGAGGTACCGACTTCATTAGAAAATGCGATCTTTATTCCTCTCCAAAGCCAGGGGACCCATTAGCCAAGCTTAGGCTTGAACTTTAAGGAAGGTATCCTTGTAGTAACGAAAACCAGGGCAAACTCAATACAACTGGAAACGAATCCCTTGTTTTTCTCAACAGAAAGGGACCCTAGACATCACTTAGGCTTGTGAGAGAGTGTGTGCTTTTCGCGGGCTGCAACGTGGCAGTATGAGAGTCGCTTCTTTGACGGGTTTCCCTCTGCTGACACACGCTGACACCCAGTAGCAGCAGTAACTTATGGTGGAGACCCTTGGGTGGCACCAACAGTGCACAGATACATTAGCCTAATGGTGAGTGGCATGAACCCACCCAGCAGTGCTGCCTAAGAGAGACGAGGTGATCTGCTTCCATAAAGATTAAAATCAACACCAAACCAATTCTGACGGACAACAGTTATACCGGTCAGAGAAGAACCATCTCATTGGTTATTATGAACCACTACACACTACTTGAGTTTTAATATAAG